ACGTTTTGAAATGTTTTGTAGCCAATCAGGTTCCTTCTCAAGAATAAAAAGATATAATTTGTTTTTGATTTTGTTTATTTTTAGTTTGGATATTTATTTTTGCCCTGAAATCACAACGCCGCGCCGTTGTTCGACTGTAAGAATAGTAGGTACCATACCGTTTGTGGTATATTTTTATAATTCTGTTGTAACTTGACATGATACAATGAAGTGTAATAAATAAAATATAAATTATAATAAATAACATTTCCAAGACTAACACGTCCATACAAATTATTTTTTGCTGTATACAGCGCGTTCCACAGAATACAGGGTGATTGGAAAAATATAAAACTATTTGTATTACACGATCAAAATAAATTTTAATATTATGATTTTGTTTCAGTTAATTAATCAACATTATTTTAACCACTACTCAATTACTAATTAGTTACATAGGATAAAGTACGTTGCAGAGCCACGTATCGCCGGCTTCGACGCATAGTCGGTAGTCCCACGTATTTTCACGTTTTTTTTTTATTTCTTACTTAAGTATTTTTTTATTTTATTTTTTTAGTAACTTTTTATAATTTTTGATCATTTTAAAAATTATGAGCTACTGAACTAAAATTTGAACAAGTTCAAATTCTAGATGAACTAGAACTTGAACTAGTTCATTCTAAAAACTATGAAATAGAATTTGAACTAGTTCATATTTAATGTCTTGAACTTGAACTAATTCATTTTTAGAAAGATCTTTCCCATCACTGTACCTAAATATGTACCTAAGTAAGCACTCCGGCACTCAAGATGATCCCTTATACCGACCTACTTATTTCCAAATAAATACCTAGGTAGGTACTTGCAACTTGGTATTTCTTTTTATTTCATATATGAAATATTTATAGTACCCATATTTACACATCAATGTTATGATCTGTTTGAGTAACCAATGACAACCATTTATATACAAAAAAAAATTATTTTCACTGTTAATCTCAAGTTCCCTGTCTGACCAGCTCTTTAAAATTCTAATATCGGAAAATCCTTGATGGAAAATCTGATGTGCAATCTAGATCATTAGAGGAACCACTATTCCAAATGTGTTGTATCGATCAGTTAGTGAACGAGTGGTATATGCCATTCATATATTATATAGATGAAGTGCGCCAAGCTTAATAAAAATATTATATAGAGTAGAATCATTTACTTTTCGCTATTTTAACCGACAACCGAATTTCCTGATTTACTAATTATTATAGCACTGAAAGTCCTTCAAATTGACTGTCTCTTTGACGTCATACACGTCTGATACATGACAGACGTTACATTTAACCTCCAATAACGCCCAGCCTTATATTTCTTAAATATTGTCGTTCAGACGTCAAAATATATATATAATATATGAACTATAGTTTTAATATAATATTACCTATACATTTTAACTATTTATATTTTATGCATGCAATAGTTATCGTGCTTTTGTACCTACTGCAAATGACACACACGGTTTTGAGCATATTTTATTCGCGATATATTATTATAAAATAATAATATTTTATGTTTTTTTTATTATGTTGATATTATATTAGGTAGGTATACTGTTACCGTATACATGAACTGTAATTAGACACGAGGAGATTTCTACTTTTTTTTTTTTTTTGTTATGAAATAAAACGACATGAATTAAAATAGTATAAGTTCCAATTTTTTATGGGTCAATACAAAAGTTAAATATAAACAATACATCATAATACATCAATAAATTATTTTACAAGTGTTCACTTTTCAGTATAATATCCTTTAAAACTAATATTTATTTATTTATTTATTTATTTAATTGATTTAACAGGCTTGAGCCCTTTGAATATAAGGTATAATCCAATTGACAAATTACATGAACGGAAACTTACATATTTTGATTACAATAAACAAAAAGGAAAAAATAATAAAGAACTATACAAAGTACACATACAGAAATACAACTAACCTAACCTAATAAACAATTAATATTCATATTAATACTTCGAATAAATGCAATGATATAATATAAAATAATGGAAAATGATAAAGATCCAAAATGATTGTAACATTTAAAATATATAATATTATTGTAATAGTAAATTATAATATATACACGACAAGAAATCGTTAAGATAAATATAATTTGTGTTTGTACATATATTTTTTTTTTTTTATTCGAAATAAAAATAAATGGTTACAAATTAAACAAATTTAACAAATTGTTACAGTTTTGATTACCTACACAAAGTGTACACATACTATTTATAGGAACAAGACACACAAGCATAATATAATATTTTCATGGTATTCAGAATCAGTATCTCGTCGTCGATGTAGTCAAAACATAATCTTAATTGGCCAGGAATTTAGTTAATAATAAATAATAATAATACGCTGAAATGTATTATAGACAATAACGAAAGAAAACGCGAATAACGAGTACAAAAAACGATAAGAGATGATGGGGAATAATGAAAAGTGCACAGTCCATAGACACACAGATTATCTTATGTAGTTCTTACATGTAGGGTCTGGGGCGGAGGGCAGTTGCTTCGGCTCTGGTAGCTATTTTGCAACAGCTGGTTAGGTGGGTGATGAAGGTGCGGCGATTAAAATATGTCTAATTTTGAGGAATATTGGCCAGCTAAGGTGGTTGATACACAACTAATAACTAATCAGAAGTCTAACTAACGGCAATGGAAGGAATTGATGAGGCAGCTTGAAGTTACTCAAAGTACTGGCTCATCAACTGCGATGTGGAAGGAGAAGGAGACAACTACATTAAAATTCCTAGTAAAGCAGTGTGGAGGAGGATTTAGAAAAAGGAGGAGGTGCAGAGGGTCAAGAAGTAGGTGCATTCGGTCTAGGAACTAGAAATGAAAGAGGAGACCGCCTTGTAGACTTCTGCAAGCAACATGATATGACCATAACTAATACATAAAATACATACAATTTGCAAAAGAGAAATGTGGTTTTATTCGTATTAACTTTGTTTCTGTTGTGCCATATTGTATTCAAGATGACCAAAAATATGTCCCGCTCTTCTACTTTGAAGGCGAAACAGAAAACCTAAGACAGCGGGCTGTAAAATTAGAAAATTGGAACTTGGAATATCTTAAGTTCTGTTTTAAAGTGCAGGGTATCAGAAATGAGTTGTTTGCCATTGCCCCTTGCACAGCGACTAGTCTTATTTATGCTTATAGTAATACCGTATCGTACTCCAGGGTTGTACCTATCAGCCAATGTATAACAACTATGTACAATCCAATGACAAATGGCAATGTATTGTCACATTCAAGTCAAATGAGACAATTCTACACTCAACGTTCTAACAATAATCAAGCCCAACAACAACAGTTGCAGCAATAACATCAGATACCACAGCAACAACAAATAATTACCACTCCTCTAACTCAGCAGTCATATAGTGGCCACCTGTCGTTTAATCAACACACAACAGCGCAACGCGTTAAGGAATGCTGGGCCTGTTGTAATTGCTCCGCCCTTATAAATTATTGACTTATCGTCCCTTAAATCCAGCCCTATTCTTCCAGCTGTGCAGGAGAATTCTTTTTGTAATATTAATGCATGGGAATTGACGAGAATACCGGAACGGATGTGGGGGGCGCATGACACATCTAACAATGCTGCATACAAGGTTAATGAGCTAACCGCAGAAAAAGATATACTTCGAAAATGCCAGGGGATATCGGAAGATGTCAAATCGACTATATTATAGTGAGGAAAAGGTTCAGGAATCAAGTACATAGATGCAAAACATACCCAGGTGGTTGACGTGAACACCGACCATAATCTTCTCATTATGAAATGTAATGCTGGTGCCCGCTACCAGCTTTTGCCAGTAGGGTAGTCTTCCATTGTGCCCGGCCCATTCCTAGCTGGTGCGCTGTCTTTTGGCCGGACCATCCGCAGCACCAGTTTGGTATTGTTGTATTTGTTCATCTTGCTTCAACACAAATGCCTTTAATTGCGGCAAAGCATGCGTGACATCTAGTAGCCTGGCCATGGGTGTTGCAGCCGGGTACATTGACCTGATTCGTCCATTTCCCCTCAACACGGCCAACTGCTCGCTGTCAAACAAACGACGGGTGAAATGTAATAACCACTTCTGAACACTGTTGGATGAACAGTATTAGTGATAATGATTATTAAAAAGAGGAGCAGACACTTACGAATTTCCACTGAATAGTGTCGTTTTCCAGTATTTGTTTAAGATGTAAGCGCATCTCTCGACTGTACACGAAGGCAACACCATCTGGACTAAATCGTTTAATGTCACCATCAGATCCGAATAGATGTATGGTTTTGCGTTTATGCAATGAATAACTCTCCCTTTGATCTGTGTTAAATATATATATATATATATACATATGAATATTATTTATTTTTTAAATACAAATAATAGTATCATAATAAATTAAAAGAAAAATTTTCGGTTTTCTATATAGCAAATAAAATCGAAATAGTAATTTTTTGTGTTAATTCTATACACTGAATTTAATTTAATAACATACGGGCCTGTTACTTATTGCTATAACGCGATTGATCAAATAATAAATATTGAAACAATTGTAAGAAGTTAAAAAATATAGATAAATAATAATAATTAATAATAAAGATTAATTCATAGTACCTATTTTATGTTTATTAATGAATATTATAAACTAATCTATGATATGAAAAATTGGCTGAAGTTATGTTTATGCTATTTTTGTTAATAAATATATATTTGTTTAAAAAAAAAATATAGAGGTATCAAGATTTTATATCTTATAGAGGTATGAAAAATAATAATAATTTTATTCTAGGCCCCAATAAATTCAGTCAATCTTAAAATATTAAATATCACTAACCTTGTATGCAGCATTATTAGATGTGTCATGCGCCCTCCACATCCGTTCCCGTATTCTTGTCAATTCCCATGCAATAATAGGACGAAAAGAATTCTCCTGCACAGCTGAAGAATAGGGCTGGATTTAAGGGACGATAAGGCAATAATTTCTAAGGGCGGAGCAATTGCAACAGGCCCAGAATTCCTTAATGCGTTGCGCTGTTGTGTGTTGATTAAACAACAGATGGCCACTATATGACTGCTGAGTTAGAGGAGTGGTAATTATTTGTTGTTGCTGTGGTATCTGATGTTGTTGCTGCAACTGTTGTTGTTGGGTTTGACTATTGTTAGAACGTTGAGTGTAGAATTGTCTCATTTGACTTGAATGTGACATTACATTGCCATTTGTCATTGGATTGTACATAGTTGTTATACATTGGCTGATAGGTACAACGTTGGACTACGATACGGTATTACTATAAGCATAAATAAGACTGGTCGCTGTGCAAGGGGCACTGGCAAACAACTCATTTCTGATACCCTGCACTTTAAAATAGAACTTGAGATATTCCAAGTTTCAATTTTCTAATTTTACAGCCCGCTGTCTTAGGTTTTCTGTTTCACCTTCAAAGTAATAGAGCGGGACATATTTTTGGTCATCTATAATACAATATGGCACAACACAGAGTTAAAACGAATAAAACCACATTTCTCTCTTGCAAATTTTATGTATTTTATGTATTAGTTATGGTCATAATATGTTGATTGCAGAAGTCTACAAGGCGGTCTCCTCTTTCATTTCTAGTTCCTAGACCGAATGCACCTACTTCTTGACCCTCTGCACCTTCTCCTTTTTCTAAATCCTCCAATACTTGATCTATACTGCTTTACTAGGTATTTTAATGTGGTGGACTCCTCCTTCCACATCGCAGTTGATGAGCCACTACTTTGAGTAACTTCAAGCTGCCTCATCAATTCCTTCCATTGCCGTTAGTTAGACTTCTGACTAGTTATTAGTTGTGTATCAACTACCTTAGCTGGCCAATATTCCTCAATATTAGACATATTTTAATCGCCGCACCTGCATCGCCCACCTAACCAGCTGTTGCAAAATAGCTATATCGTTGAACCCTGAAAATTCAATAAATATTCAATATAAAAAATTGTTAATTTACTAATATATATTACATAGCCCACAATGTTATATTTATACCCACCATTGAATTCAAACAATTAATTTTTATATTACACATGCAAAACTTGTAGTCAATACTTTTATTAAATTATAAATTAACTTTAATAAAGCATCAAAATATATATTAAATTATAAAATTATCCAACATAGTAACAGCTGGACTCTTAATTTTAAAACAATTTCAAAGAGAAGAAAAGCAATATAATTTATTTTATAATTATTATTTATTAATATATCAACATTACTTATAGTCAACAAAAACGTTAATTGTTTGAATTGCCAACTGAGGAATAACAATAATTAATCCGTTAGTTTATAAAAATTATTTGTGTTAAATAATAATACAAAAAAGTTATTTCTTTAATGGAGACAAAATTATAAAATACAAAATAGTTTAGAGCATGAGCTTTGAACTACACATAATTGGTTGAGTATTTCTATATAAGGGGTTAGGAATAAGTGGATAAAAAAATTAAGAAATATACTAGAGATATACTTTGAATAAATTATTAAATAAATAGATTTGAATAAATTATTGGAGCAACTGAGTTAATTGTAGATAACTAATAACAGTTGTTATTATTTATTTATATTTTGTTTCTTGTTTGCTTATTTATTTTGATTGTTTGTTTAATCATTTATTTACTTATTATTAATTATACGTATTGTTGTTATTATATATTTAAATAGGTTTCATCAACGAATTTATTATTCACTTACCATTTAAATTTATTTTACTCTAGTGTGTCAATTACATTTTAATTCTGTTTATTTATTCTGTTTATCCTGAATTCGATACATTATTTAATAGTCGTTTGAGGTTAACCAAAAAAACAAATGAAACCATCCTATTATTGTTTTGTTATGGTAATACTGTAATATATCATATTCATTTGTATGTGACTGTGTGTGTAAGTAGTCATCTCTCTCGCGTCTCGCTTGTTTTGAGTTGCCTCGTCAATTATGTTAAATAAATAAATGTCAAACAATATTATTTTTGTTTACTAATTTCAAATACAACATGGTGTCAGGTGTTGATTCATTATGGGTCGAAAAAAAAAGGATCAAGCAGATAAATCTGGATCACAACATGATGAGTCAATAAACGAGCCGCAACAAACCAAGCGCACAGATACTCAAATTTCTACAAACACATTTACAATGTCATCAGGTCTTATTGGTAATGTAAGTCAACTATCCTTAGATGGAAATTTATGTCAAAATTGGTCCGATTGGTTGCAAGAGTTCAACATTTATTTGATTGCGAGTGGCTATGATAGTCAGCCAGAAATACGTAAAATATCAATTTTTTACATTTTATTGGTAAAGCTGCTTTTAAAATCTATAATTCATTTAATATTAACATTAAAGCGTTCACATTGGACAATCTAATATTCAAATTTATTCCACGTTTTATTCCACGTAAAAATGTTACTTTGGAACGCCATAAATTTTTTACACGTTACCAATTACCTGATGAAAGTATTAATGAATATATAGCAGATTTAACAAATAAAAGTATGTCATGTGAATTTGAGTCTTTACGAGAAAGTCTAATAAAAGATATGTTAATCTGTGGTCTAAATACAAATAATATTAAAATTAAACAATGTCTACTAAAAGAAAATGATCTTACATTGGAAAAAGCATTGAAAATTGCTTCGTCTATGACGTTGTCACAACAAAGGGTTAAGCAACTGGATGTCATGGATGGGAGCAATGAAGCAGTCAAAGAAGTACTAGCAGTCCAGTCAAAAGAAAAGTTCAAAAGTCGAGGTCACCATCAACGGTCGTATGGTCATAAGAATCGTCAGTCAACATCATCGGATAAAAACAATCAAACTTGTGTGTCATCGCTATCCAGTCAATCGTCAAGAATCAAAAAAGAAAGTTCAAAGAAGTCTTACGGTAATAACAACAATTTTAGTCCCACATGTAGTCGTTGTGGTCAAAGTCATAAATTTTCATGTCCCGCCAAAGGTATTAAATGTCATAAATGTAATTTGTTTAATCATTTTGCCAAGTATTGTAAGACAAAGATGGTTAATCAAGTGACACTTGATAAAAATAATTCTAGTAATGATAATTTACTTTTTATTGGTTCTATAATTGATAATAATAAAAATTATGTTTGGCAAATTGTATTACAAATTAATAATAGATATGTGAATTTTCAGTTAGATACAGGTGCCCAAGCTAATATAATGTCAATTGAAATTTAAAAAAAAATGAATATTTCTGTCAGTAGTATTAAAACACAATCTAATGTAAAATTAATGGCTTTTAACTCTAATAAGATATCCACTTTAGGTAAAAGCACTATTAAATGTTTTTATAAACAAAAATATTGCTTAATTGAATTTTACACAGTTGATTTTTCATATAATACTATACTAGGGTTGGAAACTTGTAATAATCTTAATTTAATATCTACAATTAATCTCATAAATAATGATAAAGAGATTTCTATTTTAAATGAATATGAAGATTTATTTGAAGGTCTAGGATGTCTACCAATCACTTATCATATTAATTTAGATACTAATATTCAACCTAAAATTGACCCTCCTAGGAGAGTACCATTTAAAATTTATGATAAACTAGAATCTGAACTGAAAAATATGGTCAATATGAAAGTAATAGAAAAATTAAATGCACCAACGTCCTGAATAAATTCTATAGTTATTGTAATAAAAAAGAATAATAAGCTTCGAATATGTTTGGATCCGAGAAATCTAAATAAGGCTATAAAACGTTCACACTATCCACTTTCTAGTTTTGAAAATGTTAAATCTAGATTAAATGGTTCATGTTATTTTTCCACTTTAGATGCTAGTTCTGGTTTTTGGATGGTACCTCTTGATGAGGAAAGTGCCAACTTATGTACATTTAACACACCTTTTGGTAGGTATAAATTTATTAGACTTCCTTATGGTTTAAATTGTGCATCAGAAGTTTTTCATAGAGTAATGACTGAACATTTTTCTGATATTGATGGTGTATTTTTATATGTTGATGATCTTATCATATATGCTAAAAATAAAGAACAACATGATTAAACCTAAAATTGACCCTCCTAGGAGAGTACCATTTAAAATTTATGATAAACTAGAATCTGAACTGAAAAATATGGCAATATGAAAGTAATAGAAAAAGTAAATGCACCAACGTCCTGGATAAATTCTATAGTTATTGTAATAAAAAAGAATAATAAGCTTCGAATATGTTTGGATCCGAGAAATCTAAATAAGGCTATAAAACGTTCACACTATCCACTTCCTAGTTTTGAAAATATTAAATCTAGATTAAATGGTTCATGTTATTTTTCCACTTTAGGTGCTACTTCTGGTTTTTGGATGGTACCTCTTGATGAGGAAAGTGCCAACTTATGTACATTTAACACACCTTTTGGTAGGTATAAATTTATTAGACTTCCTATATTATTATATATAATATATTTAATATAATATATTCCTAGACTTCATCAATATTTGTATGGTCAAACAATTACTGTGCAAACTGACCATAAGCAACTAATTATATTATTTACAAAACCTCTTCATTCTGTACCTGTCCGTCTCCAACGCATGATGCTTAAACTACAATCTAAAAGTTATCTTTTTTGTTCCTGGTAAATTACTAATAATTGCTGATACTTTTTCTAGAGCAGCACTTCAAATAACTGAAGTTGATGAAATTAAAGATGATATAATCTTAAATGTTCAAAATTTAATTTTAAATATAGCAATTTAAAAAAATAAATTAGATTTGATTAAAAAAGAAACACAAAACGATTTGGTATGTAAAAAGCTTAGTGAAGTTATACAAAGTGGGTGGAAAGAAAATAAGAATTTAATTGAGAAAATTATTAAACCCTATTGGTATTTTAAAGAAGATTTATGTGTAATAGACAACTTATTATTTAAAAATAAAAGTTTGCTTATACCTAAAAATTTAAGACCAGAAATGTTAAAAATATTTCATGAAGGTCAGATGGGGATTGAAAGATGTAAAAATTCAATAAGAGATTTAATATTTTGGCCTAACGTAAATTCTGATATGAAAAATATTGTTGAAAATTGTGAGGTATGCATGAAATATAGAAATAATAATTCTAAAGAACCTTTAATACCACATGATATACCTCAAATACCTTGGTTTAAGTTAGGAACTGATTTATTTCACTTTGATAATAAAATATATTTATTGGTGGTAGACTATTATTCTAA